CAGGACAATATATATGTACGTTTCGGCGATAAAATGCATCGACAGGTAGTAGGTATTCCTATGGGCACTAACTGCACCCCTTTAATAGCAGATTTATTCCTGTATTGCTATGAATCTCAGTTTATGACCATACTCAGTAAAGACACGTCATTGTTACATTTGGTTGATACATTCAACAATACCTACCGTTATCTTGATGATATTTTTTCGTTAAATAATCCAGAGTTCTCTAAATATACTACTGAAATTTACCCAAAGGAACTTACTTTAAATAAATCTAACATAAACAGCAGTAGTTGTCCTCTTCTAGATTTAGACATTTCAATTTTTCAAAGGGAAACTCCATACTAAAATTTACGACAAAAGAGACGATTTTTTATTCCCTATTGTTAATTTTCCCTTTTTAGACGGCGATATTCCGTTGGCTCCATCATACGGTGTTTATATACCCCAACTCGTTCTTTATGCCCGTGTGTGTAGTGATGTCATAGATCTTAACGAACGTAATCAATCCATCACTGGTAAACTATTAAGTCAGGGATTTCGTTACCATAAATTGCTTAAAACGTTTACTAAATTCTTTCATAGATACAAAGATTTGATTAGTAAATTTGGCTGTACCTGTAGAAAACTTATTAAAAACGGTATTTCACATCCTAAATTTTACGGTAATATTGTAGTAAAAGCGGGGAAATCACTATGTGATCCGTGTAATCTCATCGAACCTTTAAACAAACTTATTAGTGAAGGTTATCTTACCAATGTTGTAATTAGATCTTTGAATATAGTTTACATTGGCACAAATATCGATTTTGTCATTAGCAGATTAAAACATAACTAAATTTGTATTCTTTTCAAACGTTTTTTTTGGGATGTATAAATACACGTTCACGTTTATTTTCTATATAGAGATTACTCTATCTATATATTACATTATAGATATTTATTAACTCCTAACTATCCTACTGCCTGTCGATACCTTTATTTTGGCATTGCACAAGTCATGTCTTCTTTGACTGTCCATGACGTTAAAACACTAAATCCCTGGGATGTGTTTTAGTCAATTTTAGTCTCTGATGCATGATTTTTTTATTATTAATTAATTGTTTTTGGCTTTTAACTAGCTTTCAGTAACTGCGAGTACTCTCAAATCGCACTTTCGTGTTAATTTGACCTGTTGATACAATTTGTAATGTATTTTTGTTATTTAATGTTTACTTATTCCGTGTTATATCTAGTCTCACTGTTAATGTGTGCCACCTTTGATGAGTGTCTGGTGTGACGATGGGGTTTCACTTTTGTTCTCGTGCTGGGAACAACAAAATTATTTGTTTTGTAAGGATTATTTCCGTACTCCATGTATACCTTACAACAGAGTTGTTTTTATTTTCCTGTGTGCGTTGTTTTGTTTGGCGGCATTTTGTCCAAGGTTATAGTTGTCTTTATGATGTTGTTAAACATCTAACCCTCTTGTTTTATTAACTTTGTGTTTACGTTGTGTCATGAATCAAATTTTTTCTTTCGGTTTGTGTTCGCTTGTTTTTGTTGATGCGTCTTTTGATTGAGTCGGACCATTTCAATTGATATTTTATGGTGTGTCTTTCTGTGTTGTGATGTTGCACTATTGTTTCAGGTAGGGTGAGAGTTGGCGCCTGTTGAAACGTTTGAACCCGCTGCATTTCTTTGCACCTGTCCTAGTTCAGGAACCTGATGTTCAGTGGTTGTCGATTGTTGATGTGGTTCATTAAAAGAGAACCATCGAAATCTTAATGTCTTCTATTTATCTGTCATCAAATTGATACCTTATTACTGCTTTTGTATGGCAATATTAATCGCTGTTCTATTTTATTATTTTCTGATTAGATAGCCAAAAACCTGAACTTTTTGCTGATAACTATATAAGGAATTTTATGTTTATATCTCAAAAATAAAGGCAGATTACAGAGTTTTCTTTTTTGAAAGCAATCAGATATAATATGGGCAAAATGATATTGGTTAACATTGCCGTCGAACGTTAAGTCCCAAAACGCCGAATTATACATCGAACTTTATTCAACATGTACAGCAATCGTATACTGACACTTTTTTGGTGGCAGAGCGTATCATTAGGAAAATAAAATGAGCAGTTAGGACGTACGAACTGAGCCGAGACTGAGAACGAAATTATTATTACAAAACAGGAAAGTGAAATCGGCGTTTACGAAAGCAAGACATTAGCTACTTCAAATACTTGATGAGGATTTTCAGACCGTAAAGAAGTGAAGGAATTGCAGGAGAAACTTTAAATGCGAAAGCGATTGACAGTGGGGAAACTGTATGATGAATTTAAGTATAGGAATGAGACGGAAAATAAGCAGAGAGTATCCATCACGGTGCGAAATGGGGACGGACTTTTCGCGAAACTTCCGCGTTCCTGAATTAAATGCGATCAAAATCAGGACATTTTGTTATCAAACCATTCAAACGGCTTTTGAAATGATTGAAAATGAAAACGCTTAATTGTTAGTGTGTACTTTATGTTATGAGCACGGAGTTGATCAATATCATTCCTTTCGTTTTATGTTGATATTCTCCATGAATATGCCGTTATGAACAAAGACTTATCTACATAAAATTCAAGTCGACTTATGAAAATGTCAAGAATAAGGGTCACACAATCGATTGATTTCAAGCCTTTTGTCGAATAATTGGGCATATTCAGTGTTTATTTTAGGTATTGCATGCGTCTAAATCTGAAACCAAAGACAAGGTATAAATAAAATGTTATTATGGATAATATTCAGTGATATAATATGATTTCTATGAAAACCACCTTCGTTTTTCTAAAACAAATCACAAAAAGTCCAGCAACGCAGAACAAATCGCGAAAAGTCCGTCCCCATTCTGCACCGTGTACATGTTAGTAGAGAACAGGAAACTGAAGTTCAACCCGAGTCAGCTAAACAAATGTGCATTTTTGGAAAACTATATAAATAAAAACAGAATCGGATGTTGGAAAAACTATGCAAACAGAAAATAACGCAAGCGAGAGCTCGATGATGGAATAAGATTTGGTTCAGAAACATGACAGCATATGTGGAAAAGGTTGAGAAGAGTTCCGATACCGATATCAACAGGAAATAAAAGAATCTATCAAAGCTGGATGGCTGCGTTCTTGATGCGTATTGATCAAGCACCGGCGACAAAGAGAATACAAACTATTACAATTGAGAAAATATTTGGGAGTGAAGCAGTACAAGTGGTCGTCGACAATTTGGGACATTAAACAGTATCAAACGAGACCACAAAGGAGCGTTTACAGAAGGAGTACGGAGGTCAGGACAAAGGAGACAAATTACTATCTACAATGTATATCGAATAAAAAGGAATTTAAAACCTAAAAGAGAAGGATTTTCAAAAGACATTGATAAAACTGCTCTTTCATTAATTAAGATGACAAAATCAACGTCAGTAAGCAAACTGCTTTAAAGTTTATTTTTGAACAACAATTAAACATTTTTTATTATTATACCTACAAGTTGATTTAAGGAAATACATAACAGTAACATAGGATAAAATGTCCAAACTTCAACAAAGCTTACTTTTAAAAACAATCAAACAAGAAATAACCCAGTTTTTGAGTCTTCAGTTTTTTTGTAACTTGTTCCTAAAACCACATATTTAACTTAAAAATTAGATTACTATCAATACTGATAACTAGAAAAATGCATATAACTAAACATAAGATAATATGGTCTATCTTTTGTAAAGATCACATTTCAAAAGTTTAAAATGAATGACCGAGCTTTTTTTATTTTCATTTTCCACAATTTTCCACAAAAATCACATAATTTACACAAGAATAACCATGTTTTAATACTAATAACTATAGGACTTCATAATATAAACATAAGATAATACATTTTGTTCTCTTTAAAGATCCCACTTCAAAAGTTACAACCATACATAAACGAGCTTTTCTTCATTTCCAGACAAAATATTAATACTATCAACTATATGACTACATGCCAAACACATAAGATTATATGTTCTATTTTCTATAAAAATCAAATTTCAAAAGTTTTAACCATTAACAACTGAATTTTTCTTCATTTCCAGTTTTCAACGATTTTTCTCTAAATATCACACATTTCACCTCAAAATAGTCTTGTTGATGGTAACTAACGAAAGTACACATAATGCATTTGTAACGGGCAATGGAACATGGTTCAAATTGAATTATCTCTCCTTTGCCATAATAAATCTCAACTTTCAAGTAGCTTAACATTATACATGCATAACATGTATGCGAGATACGTCTGGGGCTCTTTTCATAAAATATCTTACAACTAGATATGGTCGTTAGTTATACTGAAGATTCTTTTGTGCAATGATTCTTTGTGGTTATATGTAGTCTCTTGTATTTGTCACAGAATACACATACCATTGGGTCAACTATATTTGGTGAACGAAGAAGAAACAGAAGATACCAAAGAGGTATTTCAACTCATACTTCGAAAATAAGCTGACAACGACATTGCAAATAACGAAAAAAGTCATTCTACAAAATACAACATAGAAGTTATAGACAGAGCAAACCGAACGCCTGCTAAAACCAGGGGAGAAATATTTGCTACTGTATTTTAAGCAGGAAGCACTCAGTCAAGTATATAAATTTTCCAAATTTTTAACGTACTTTAGCTTCTGTCGTATTCCATTGTGAATCATATACAGTGATAATATATAAAGACACGATAATAAATATGCAACTTTTAGATGATACTTTACCAACAAATATAGGAGACGGATTTAAAGTTTGTCAAAGAAACTACATGCTAGATTTTTGACTTTTGCAGTTTTTGAAGAAATTATTCAGTTTTCTAAACCTAGTTCTTCAATCTAGAGGAGATATTAATGATTTAACGTCACTATAAAAACGATATCAATAGAAATAGTTGTAAGTAGTTTGACCTTGAATAGGCAACTGTAAAGAGAATCGTTGGCTAAATAAAATATTTGGAAAAAAAAACTAGTTTTAATGTGGTACATTTGAATTTTGAAGACATCGATCAAGTTCTGCTACTTCTTTTTAATTTTAAAGATCTCACGTTGAGCCTGAAATAAAAAAAAATAAAATAAAACTAGATTACTTTGAAAACGATATTAAATGCTCTTGTTATGATTTGTTGTGGTACATTATATTTTATGTGTTGTTTGCAGTTCTATAGGGAACTTCAAGGACCAAATAAAAAAAACAAAAAACGAAACGTTCAAACGTGTAACAGAGACGCTTTGGATTTGTACTGTTGTCTAAATAACAACATTAATATAATATTAACAATTAACGCGTTGTGCTATGCACACCCTCTCTCGTAGATCAAAGTATAGAAATCAGAAAATATGTGTCTGATAGATCTGGAGAGATCTCATCTCTGCAAAGCTTCTGAATAAATATGAATATTAAACTCTGTTCAGTCATGTCAGTAGTACCGCGTAAAAGTGTAACGAAAACAATTTTTTGAAAATTTGAAAATGTCCGTGTAATTGTCTCATAGGTCTGAAAACTTATCATTGTCGGGCTAATGACGAAATATAAAGTCATTCCGTTCAGTATGACGAAAAATTTTGAGTCCATTAAATTTCAACATAAAGAAAAAGTCAAAGGATCGACAAACAAGAAATAATTGTCTAATAGGTCTGAAAAGTGTCCATAAGTTACAACCTGTCACTGTTGAGCTGCTGACGAAATATGAAGTCATTCTGCTCGTACGCATCCGAGAAAAAATGTGTAATATTATTAATTGTACTATGTAATGATTTATATTTCTGTAGAGAATTTCGTCAAGTATAACCTCAGAAAAAAAGGAGGAACATAATTACGTTTTAACATTTCAGTTCATAGATTTTTCAATATGAATTTAACCTCCAGGGTAGTAAAAAATACACAATTTAATGTTTCGAGGATATAATATCGTATCATTGCATTTTGTAAACCTGTATCTAGCTTTCTAAATGACCGACCATGGCATATTTAGCTTGTTACACAATGTAGCTGATAACGAAAATTCTACAGAAAGACCTTTCACATTGTCCTGTCGCTTTATTTCGAGAGCTGTTATGTTTTTGCTCTTACACGTGAATCATTGGATTTCGCTCAGAAACAGGAAATGACTATACCGTAATCACATGTTAAAATGTTTGTAAGTCCTTGTCTCACTTAAAAACATGTAATATTGTTAAAATTGTAAAAAACAGGGGTTTGAAATTTTTCTGCTTAGGTTGATTTTCAGTTCTTATGTGTCTAAGGATTTAAACAAATATTTCATACTTTTCTAAGTTGATGCTATATATTGTAACAACCTAATTTGCATATTTGAGTGAGAAAGGCCGGAAATACCATTAAAATTGGTTACGTTTGAGACCTCTTAAATCCCCCAGTGCCATTTCCACCTAATTTTGGATTTATAATATGATTAAAATATATATTATAGATAATTAAAAGCAATATTATGAAAGAATTCTATCATCGGCCTTTCATGTGGGATGCTATTTATGATGCCTAGATTTATATATTTCATTTTCACGCCAAGTTTGAGTCCCTGGTACAAATGTGGTACTGTTTAAATGTAGAAAATAAATAAATAAAAAAAAATTGTAATAAATTTGGTTCTTAGTTCTATAACAAACATATGAGAATCTACCTTGGCTCTCCTAATTGAGGAGATCGATTAGTCATCACGTGACCAGTTGAGTGGTTTACTATGAACAAAATAATTAAAATTCCGTATTTTTAATTTGCATTATATAGCAATTCATTTTCCATTTTTCAAATTTTAGTAGCTTCTGAACAACCTATTAAAAGTAGGCACAGCATTTCTTTATATGGCGACCATGGCATAGTCCATATCCTGTAATAACTTTCCCTTCACAAAGATTGTCAACTTCTATACACACTCCTTTATAAGATCTGCATCGCCTGTCTACCCCTGTTAAATAGAATTACTGTTATTAGTGTTTTAGAAAATATCAAGCATTATCAGTTTACTCATAAAAGATAAAAACCATATCTTGGACAAACGAATATGTACCAGAAGCATAACTTGGGAAATACGATGAATGTCGCTTAGAACACAGGAATAATCAACGTTCCGGAGCACTTGGTATCACTCATGAAATAAAGTTTGACCCATAATGCGCTACATTTAGTTTTAAGTGTTTTTTCTGTTTACAAAAATGCATATCTTTGTAAACAGTTCCGATTTGATACCTTTTGATTCTTTTTTATAGGTTTAAAATAATTTTATACTTAAAAAAAATGCACTGAATAAACAGATACAAACCTAAACACATCCCCTCAATATTGAGGCGTAAGTAAAACACAGTTCTGAATGTATTTTTTTTATATATGAAAGGTTTAAAATATTTCTTAATAAACTACTATTTATTAAACATTTTATCCATTGACCTGAGGATTTTTGCCGTGTTGTCCGCCTCAACGTTGGAATAGTCGAACTGTTTCTGTCATTGATTAAAATCATTATGGTTGTCCAATACAATTACGGAGCACTTGATGTCAGTAATTATTCGTGGGTGTTATTGTCTTAGCATGGTTTTAACGTATCTGAGATGACTGTATTCAATAATCAATTAAGTTTTGCTATACCTTCACCATGATTTATTTCAAAACGTCTTATATTTTTTTGAATAGGCATTTCGAAAAATTGATACGGGAGACCCTTCAAAACCAAGATAAATTTTAAATGCAAAGAAACTATCCTTTCATAACTATACAAAAGGACGGGTCATCGGTGATCGTAGCACCGCAGTGTTTTAATTGGTTAGGGCCTGTTTTTCTACCGAAGACTGGTGGTTCCTGCGGTACTCCGACTTCCTCAACTATTAAAAACGGGCAGCCATAATTTAACGAAGGTAGCTGGAAGTGGCGTTAAACACTTAACAAAAAAACCAAAATGATACATACCAAGCCCTTTTCAACTGAATTTTTAAAGTTTGTTTTTGTGCTGTTATGCCACTGTCCTAGTTAAAAGGAGGACTGAGAACTCCAAAATGTATTTAACCCCACAGTATCCTGTAATTCAGTGGCTGTCGTCGTTTGTTATCTGTCATGATGATAGTTGTGTCTTTATTTTTTTCACATAAATAATTAGGCCGTTGGTTTTCTTGTTTGAATAGTATTTACATTTTGTCATGTTAGGGCCTTTTATTGTTTACCCTGCGATTACGTGAAAACTATACGGAAGCCTATAATAACTTGCATCATCATTACTAGAATTTGATCTTTGGTGGATAGGTGTCTTATTGGCATCCCTATACAACATTGGATTTTATACAGAATACGTCAAGAGGTCAAACCAAGCACCTCATTGGCAAACACCCGCCTTGACAGGCAACAAATGCAAAAGGCAAACAATAGATTGAGCAACACGAACCACATAAAAAGTGGGCTTGAACTCTGGTTTTCAGGAAGGATTAACAGTAAATCATATGTTAGAATAGAGTTAAACAAAACGAATCAAATATTTGCATGGTTCAGTTATTATACTCAATTAGAAAATTGAAATTTTATTTCTCTCTACCTGTATGTCTTAAAAATTCCTTTATAAAAGTATGTTGATATCCATGAAAGACAAATACCAACGAACCAAGATGTTAGATAACTAAATAAGAATAGCTAACATGTAACTAGCATGCTGTAACAAATGTTTTAGCGTACATATACTAATTATTGTAAAAACATCTATAGATACAAAAATGAGGTAAATTCTTTGCCAGCAAATAGCAAACAAAATGAATGGACCACCAAGCTATTTTTCAAGTTGGAAAAAAATTGTCAAATTTTGTAAGGAATAAACATGATGGAAAAAGCACATTTTTGCGAAAGAAAGAAAACTTAACGATATAAATTTAAAATAGGTTATGGAATAGCTCTTATAATATATGTTTCTTGAATGAAAAAAAAAAAATAAGTCGCCGTACACTTTTTCAAGATACATAAAAAATAAGTAAATTTACTCTTATCTGAGATATCCCTATTTTAAAACAAATTTTTAGAACATTGAATCGAAGAAACCATTTTATCTTTTCATTAAATATACTTACAGTACCCTCGGTCCATCATTGGACCACCGATGAAACTTGATTTTCCTTTAAAATAAATTGTACAAAATATTCATCTGTTTCTAAACTTTTCTCACAACAAGCACGTCAATTAAACTGTTCGTACATGGAAAGCAATGCAAACTTTCTATTTTTATTTCAATGTAACTTCACAGTAATTAAAATAAACAAGAATAATTGCAGGAATCACATGTTAATAGTATCACTTCCTCAGACGAGAAAAACAATTTTATCAAAAGGGAAAACCGGTTACCACAATTTTCATAAACTAATTTAAAAGTTTGCTTTTAAAACTAAACGTTTTATAAAGTGGAACTCTAGACAAACAGGGATATCACTTAAATAACGCAAATCCCATTTAAAAAACAACTTTTATAGGTCGTTAACTTAGATACTTTAGAAAGGTTTGGGCTCAAAAGTAAGGGCTAGTGGTAAAAAATAACCAAACTGGAATAACAGCTAGTACTCGGTTGTCAGTCATGACCAAGTGAAAGACAAAAATGTTATAACCATGTGGTTATAACACAGTGCCCCAGTACAAATTTGTAACTTCTGTGGAACGGAGCGGTTGTTCTTCAAATTAAGGAAACATACTATAATAAATAATTGTAAGCAGTAATTAATTTCTATATATGGGCCATTTGTAGGTTACTATGATGACAATTTTATAAATAAATAAACACTGTACCCGACTACTTAAACAATTTATGCCATAAGCATACGCAAGAGTTTTTCTTTCTTTTTTCAAACAATGTATGAAATGAATTCTTGAAAAAATACATAAGGGACAACTTGGCGGGAAATAAAATATTTTACAACTATGTTGGATAGGATCCGAAACTAACAAGTCGCATACGGACCCTTAACAGACTTGTTGGAGGGCTCTTTAACGTGTAGAGTGTGAGGCATTATGCTGTCACTTGGCATTGGAGGTAACGACCCAATTCCGACGTGGCGTGGCTTTGTATTTACACATCCTGCGCTGCCAAAAGGAACTTTTCACAAGTAGCATAGGTATTACTACAGGATTAGGAGAAATACAAGGATGACAACATGTTTTTTTTATCTATCTCCTTACGTAATATATAAAATGTACGTACTCAAATTATATCATACATGTTATTTTAACCAGTCATCGAATGATGAAATGCGAATTTATATACAGACAAACATCATAGTATCAATCCTGATTACAAAAACAAAATGTATTTACCTTTATTTAGTTCTAAATTTAGTTTCATGAACATTATGAAGTGTAAGTGAAATGGTACAAAAAAACCTGATGTATTGTACAGTTAAGTACACTACTAGTTAGTGGTGAAATTGTCTAAAATGTGATTGAGGCAGGGATCAAATGGTATTTTACAAACAACTGAAGCAAGAGAACACGTGCTTGGCGTTTGATTTACAGGACGCCCTTTACTTATATGCCAATTTTTTTTTTTGGCAAATTAGAAAGTTTTCTAAACTTTTGAATATATTATTATGAAGCTCTCAAAGTATTTTGTCTCTCATATAGTAATGAAACAGTTGCTTTTTTCTGTTAAAGCATAAACAATGTGCACATATATATTCCCATTTAAGTGCAACTAACGCACTGTTATTGGAATATCTCCAAGTGCGCCAATTACAAATTCATAACACACAAATTGCAAAACAGACGTATCACTTTAATATAAAAAAAAGATCTTTGGTAATAATCGAAATAAGAATAAACAAACTTACTGATAGCTGTATTTAAACATAAACCAAGATTAGAAGCCAATAGGAACAAAACCAATAGATTCATTTTACGCTACGTCGAAATAACAGAAAAGAATAAAACACTCATGCAGATTTTTTGTATTGATTTTGTTTCATATATCTCTAGTCTGTAACATTTGGCTACAGATGAATTACGTTTTAATCAACAAAATTTAATATTTCCAAGAAAAGTTAAAAAGAAAAATCAATATTGTCCTACATTTATAAATCTAATTTAATTTTTAGATCACTACAATATGGATTGCATATGAATTGATTCAAATTTCATCAAATAAATGGAAAGGTATTATAGTTTACATGAAATATGATCAGGAATTTCTATTCTGAAATAATTAAAAAAAATATGGAATTGTTGTATTAAATTGAAAATAATTAGCGACATTGGATAATAAATAAGACAGACTTTAATGGTTTAATAAATAAACAAATATGAGGTTCAACATGTTATGTAAAAATTATGCAATTTGTTATTTAATGTGTCTTGTACTAATTTAACCCAATGCTAAACAAAAAGTAAAATCACAAAAATACTGAACTCCGAGGAAAATTCAATCGGAAAGTCCCTAATCACATGGCAAAATCAAATGACAAAACACATCAAACGAATGGACAACAACTGTCATATTCCTGACTAATTTATGGTAAGCAGTTTTTTTTATCTATTCTAACTTCAAGATATCTAATAAACTTTGTAAGATATCTTATACAGTTTATAAGATATGTTTTTCCTTATAAAATATCTAATAAACTTTATCGATCCTTTAAATAAACTTATTCTAAAAGGCTACTAATTCAACACTGTAATTAGATCATTAAATATTGTTTTTGTTGGTACTTATATTGATTTTGTTATCAGTAAATTAAAAGCAAACTAAATATTATTGTTATCTACATAAACACATTCATGGATCTACAATCTGTCGATACCTGTATCTTGGCATTGCACAAGGTAATTTTTTTCTCTGACTGTTTATGACGTCTTTACACTAAATCCATTGGATGTTGGATGTGTACGGATTGATAATGTAGTCTTAGATGCATGATTTTTTTATTAGTTGTTAGTGGCTTTGCTAGCTGTCAGTAACTGCGAGTTCTCTCAGATCTGTACTTAGTGTCTTTTTGTTGTTTGGATGTACAAGTTGGTCACGTCCACTTGTACATGTATTTGTATTTTTATGCATCTGATGAGTTAAGCCTCTTTCAACTGATTTTTATAGTTCGTTCTTATGTTGTACTGTTACACCACTGTTCCAGGTTAGGGGAGGGTTGGGATCCCGCTAACATGTTTAACCCCGCCACATTCTGTATGTATGTGCCTGTCCCAAGTCATGAGCCTGTAATTCAGTGGTTGTCGTTTGTTTATGTGTTACATATTTGTTATTCGTTCATTTTTTGTACATAAATTAGGCCGTTAGTTTTCTCGCTTGAATTGTTTTACATTGTCATTTCGGGGCCTTTTATAGCTGACTGTGCGGTATGGGCTCTGCTCATTGTTGAAGGCCGTACGGTGACCTATAGTTGTTAATTTCTGTGTCATTTGGTCTCTTGTGAAGAGTTGTCTCATTGGCAATCATACCACATCTTCGTTTTTATATTTATATGATACCTTATATAGTTAATAAGATATCTCGTATAATTTTCTTGATGAGATATCTATAAATTATATGAGATATCTTTTAAACTAGATGAAATATCTTATAAACTATATAAGATATCTTATATAGTTTTATAAGATATCTTCTCTTATGGTTGTGGCCTGTTATCTATTTCTTGCATGTAGAGATGTATCTCGTATCACACTGCACGCAGTGTGATACGAAAAATTGATAAGAAAAATCAGCGTTAATTTGATTGGCTTATCCAGCATCATGAGACGATATGACGACATTTCCATTGGCTATTTGCAAGGTCATTGGTAACTTTTACTCGTTATGAAACCTGTAATTATACAGTTTAAAAGATATTTTATATAGTTTGTAAGATATCTCATATAATTTTCTTTATAAGATATCTAATAGATTAAATAAGTTATGTTATAAACCAAATGAAATATCTTATAAACTATATACAATGTTAAGCACAGTCACACGTATGGTACCGTCAAACGTACGCACAATACGTGTTTCAGGAGTTATTTTAATATTTACTTTTATATGGCATGGTATTGGTTCCAAAAATTTGATATTTTTCATTTAAATGCAATATTTCTTATTTAATTGGTATATTTCTTCATTTAAATGCAATATTTATTTATTTGAATGGTATATTTTTTCATTTAAATGCAATATTTTTTATTCAGATGGTATAATTTTTCATTCAAATGGTATAATTTTTCATTCAAATGGTATAATTTTTCATTCAAATGGTATAATTTTCGTTCAAATGCAATATTTTTTATTCAATTGGTATAAAATGTCATTTGAATGATATATTTTTTATTCAATTGGTATAGTAGTTTTTATTTATATGCAATAATTGCATTATGGAAAATTCTTTGACGTCATAAGGTCAAATTTGCAACAACGTTTGTGATTGGTCGGGAATTGTTTGGATTTCTCCCCTTTCTTTCTAAACTTGAGTGACCAAGAATTAAAAAACGCGTCATAATATCGCCCCTCTAACTAAATTTGGCGTTCGTGCGAGTTTGTGCACTGGCTGTTAATGCCAATAATGGCCAGGACGAGCAAAAATGCGATTGACAAGTAAAATAATTAATTTGACACACAACATGTTCATGGATAGAAACAGATGCCTTCGTGCATGGCAAAAACACTTCCAATGAAAACCTTTTCTGAAGAATCTCTCCTACAGTCTACACATTGAAATAAAAAAAAAAATACATAGCTAGCCCCCTTCTAAGTCCAGATACATGTAATCATGACGTTTTTCGGTGCTATATCATTTTTTACTTTTCTTGATCCTCAGAGACGTTGCAGGAAGGCACACATGAAAAAAAGAATAAAAAGCAACCAGGACGTTACAATTATTTGGACTAAGCCCCCTCTTTTTTACTACATGTAGAAAAAAATCACCTAATTACGACAGCAGAACCAGAAACCCACAAGTAGAGACATAAGCTGTTACACTCCAGAACTAATTCTTTAATAAAGACAATTCAGGATAAATTGGAACCAGTTACTAACTCATGTTACAACAATAGTCCTATGACATATGACTTCACTATATGAGGCGTGAACTTCATATTTAATACTTTCTATAATATGTGCTCTCATGTCTTATGCTGCAAATCATTTTACATTTAGGATTCGTTGCTGAGCTTTTTTTTACTGTTCTCGTCTCCGAATCCCTTAAATAGATTTTTTTTCAAGCCCCACAGTAGTTCAATAATTACTATATGTCTTTGCATAAATAACTATGCAGGGCATATTTCAAAACATATTTTATCTTCAGGACTTTTAAATGATTTACTTTTCAATACTGCATTGGGAAGGGGGGTATACAAGTTTATTTTGTGACACATTATATAATATAATTAGGTATCCAACAAATTATATGATTGTACGTTTAGCTATTATCTAGACCCGTACAAAATGTATATAATTAGACACATTTAACAGGGGCGGATCCAAAACCTCGGTGTCTAGATGGGGGGGAGTAGGTTCAAATTTAGATATTTGTATAGAGATGTATATATGCGAGTATTGGTAGTAATGGTTATGGTGTGTGTGTGAGGGTAGGGGTTTCAGATCAAAGATCGTTTCTATAATTCTATATCTTTTAGTTTTTACCATTTCACTCTATTCTTTATCCTTTGATCTCTATTATATTTGTCCTAAACATGCGCGACATATTTGTCACTGGACATAAGGCAACCAAAAGACAATCAACGTATTCTGTATATTTCATCATGTCTTTATTATGTTATCTATAGGTTTGGTCCCGCCCCTTATCTATTTTTTTGCACATTAGGGACGACATCAAAAGTTCAATGTACGATAAAAAAAACTTAATTCATATAGTTTTTTTCACTGACCCCCCCTCTTAACTTAATTTGGGAAAAATTGATTGACCTATAAGGATATATAAAATCGATGTTAATTAAACAAAACTTGCAGCAATTTTGACCCCCCCCCCCCCCCCCCCCCTCACCAAAAAAAAAAAACTATTTGAATTAAGTTTTTTTTATCCTTCATTGATTTTCTGATGTCGTCCCTTATCCTGTCTATGTAAACCCAATTCATGTCCGTCCTGATAAATGGTGACTCATGCATAGCATCATATGTGGTTATTAAAACAAGAAACATATTCGTATTATAATAATTAATGTACGCTAGGACTTATAGATAGATGTCATTAGTCCCAGGTCATGTAATAAAGTAGGTCTTATAAAAATACAATAGCATTTTAATTTTGATGATTATATATATGTTTATATATTTAATAATGCCATTTTTTTGGAAAAAGGGTAGGGGCAAGGCGTTTTTAAAACATTTCAATGGGGCGCGTTTTTTTTTTGTTCTTCGGAAGTGAGCCAGAAGAAGTCCATTTCTGTTTGTTTTTTGCATTGGGAAGATCTTCTGGCTCTCTTCCACCTCTTCTTTTTTGATAGGTTGACGGCAGAGGCACATAACAAACATGGCGTCGTTTAGTCTAAATGAAATTAATAAATTTATGAATGCAGATATATTAGAATGTGAGCTGTTTTATAAACGTTTTTATGGCATGACAGCCTTAATAGGACATCCCTGCAGGACGATAAGCTGGATAAATATAAGAACTACACGGACAATAACAGTTAAGGGACGATTATTTGATATTCTAGGGAAGGGATTTTGATTGATTGGTGTTTAACGCTACTTTCAACACTATTGGGCTATTCCGTTGTGGTCAGTTTAAATTTATAGATGAAATATTGGGAAGGGAAGAGAGGGCATTATTATTCATTTCAATCTGTCGCTAATCATGCCCATTTTTCTGCTCTTACCAGGCAACTATATTCATATGTGAAATCCTTCTGCCCCCCACCCCAACAAATAAATAAATATCAAATGGTTTTCCTCTTATTTAACATAAGTTTAAATTGATTGATTGTTTGTTGCTAATTTTAACGCCCAGTGAAAATTATTTCATGCTGGTTCAGGAAAA